TATATATATATATATATATATATATTTTAGTATAATTATGTCCCAAATATTACATGGGACCTACTTATACGAAAAAATTACTTCTATTTTTATTGGCTAAGTCTGGCAACTCTGCAGAGAAGGGATCTCTGACCTAAAAGTCCTAGAGCAAGAAGAATGTGTGATCACCATAGATTTGTTTTCCAGAAGGAGCTCACTGCCGTCTGTAACCATCTCTGCATGTAGGAGCGAGTCGGGGACCTCACGAGTTTGGCTTGAAACTAACATGACATGGAAAGATAACAGAATGTATACAAATACAAAAGCTGTACTAATTTATTCTAAACCCAGGTTTCAGATTCAACAGAACTGTACATCAATCCCTAGAAAACTGGTGACATTTTTAGAAAATTTAAGCATGTGTGAATTCTTTTTTTTTTTTAAGGCGCAATGACACATTTCAACTCATATTTTTATTTTGAATTTGCAAAATGTGCACTAGAAACAAAAGGGCGATGGTTGCAGACACACAGAACGACCAAGCCGGTAACAGAGGCAAAGGCAGAAAATCAGAACTTACAATCTGACCCTCAGTTCTTTACTTGGAATCTTCCATAACACCACCATTAAAAAGAAATTTTCATTCTCATTCAGAAGCAATCCATTCGCGTTTTTCCTGGACTTGGAATGTGCCAACAGAGCTTCCACTGCCTTTCTTATCTGCAACGTGGAGATACACGAACAAATTCATTCTCAATCTGATTTATGATTTAGCATTTGTCCCCTCCTCGCGTCTATTTTTCCTTTTTTTTTTTTTTCCTCCTCAAATTCTATTTTAATGGGCAACCTCCATAACCATCTCTATCAGGATCCTGCCATTTGGGATCAGAGGAATGTCAGACTCATCAGAAACCACCTAAGGATCCACTCAGCACCCGTCTACAGAAAAGAGCCTCTTTCTTCCACGTTAAGGCGACTATCGCGCCAGGCGGGAACATGCTTCCCGGGAACTGGGTGGCGAAGGCGGCAACGCCAGGAAAAGGGCAACACGCAGCTAGCGTATACTGGGGCCATTACTCTATGCCAGGGATCTGACCGAGACCAGCAGAGACACTTTCTTTAAACCCAAGGTCACGGAGGCTTGCAAAATTACCCGATCTGCCAAAGTCAAAGGGTAGGGGAACAGAGCCGGGTGGATCTCACGCCGGAAGCCCAGGCTGTACCTGCATCCATCTGGAGGGCCAGGCCGCAGGGCTGGGGGCGGCAAGCGCCCCCCCCCCACCCGAGCGCGGGAGGAGCGGGCAGGCTGAGCGTGACGCGACACGGCGACCCTCTTCCCAAAGCTCCGGGGACGTCGGCGAGGGCCAGGGGCCGGGCCCGGCCCGGCCCCCCGCGTCTCGCACGGCCGTGGCCACCCCGCCTCCCAGCCACTCTCCCCACGGGACGACTCACCTGCCCTTGGTCCAGCTGATCCAGGGAGGCAGGGGTCTGTGCAGCGGTGGCGGAGGCCGCGGTTGAGGAGGAGGGTGGGGTGGAAGCCGAACCCTCCATTGCGTTCCCACCTCGTGCAGACGCTCGCGCGGTACCGGCAGGGTTCCCTGTGCGCACGCGCGAGCCCGGGCCCGCAGCCGGAAGTTGGGGGGCGGGACCGGGCCCTGATGTCACGTCCGGGAGCGCGGGAATCAGGCCAGGGGATGTGGCACCGGCGAGGTTTGGCGGCTGCGCCGGCTGTCCGAGTCTCCGTCGTCAGGCGCGGGAGCGGCCTCGGTGACACCTGGCTCTCATTCTGTACCGAGTGACTCGAGCGAGCGCCTGGAACTGGGGGAGGAGGCCTGGCCCGCCGCCCACCTGCCCCGCCGCCGCCGCCCGTTGGGAGGCCGACGCGGTGGGGGCGCGAGTCGTGAGCCAGCGCCGGTCTCTCCTGGGCCTCGGCTCCCAGAAAGGCGGGAGGTCAGCGCAGGTACGCGGAAGCGTGCAGGCTGGACCACCTGCGGCCGCAGAAGGTAGAGTCCCCCGCCTCTCCGCAGCCCCAGTGGTGGCCGCTGTTCCCTGTTCCCCTGGAGCCTTGCGGGGATGTTCCTAGGCACGTCTAGAAACGACTCTTCTTTTTCTTCTTTATGGATGATGGGTTTAAATTTAATCTTTTTTTTTTTTTTTTTTTTTAGACAAATCGTAGCCTCGTAGACCCATTCTTTGTTCTGCACGTTGCCTTTCCCTCCGAATGCTTATTTCTTGGAGGTTGTCTGTGCCGCTACCTCATGCCCTGCCTCATTTTTAAAAACTGCCCAGTGGCCTTCCATCATGTGAATAAACAGTTTAGGAGGTTTTGGTGAACGTGCGGGATGGTTCTAGCCTTTTTGCAACCAGCTTTGGGCATTTTTGAGAGATGAAAGAATGGGAGTAGGGGGCTTTCCATGTCTCTTGCTTCCCAAAAAACCCGCCTTCCATATTGCAAAGCTGGAAGAAGGCATGTTCTGCTGCTGGTCCCTGATAGTGACTTTGTCCGGCATCAGCTTGTAGAGGAAATGTTCTTAAATCATTGATACCCACTGTTATTTGTCTATTCTAGAATGTTGTGTAAGATGGAATTCGTTTTAGCACAGTATTGAGTTGTTACGTTAGGCCTCGTGTATCAGCGTTTTCTGGTATTCTGAGAGGAGCATTAGGGATGTCACATGTGTCATTTGAATTCAAGTTTGCGAGCCAGATTTCTAGACCAAAGGAAAGGCATGAATTCAGGTACAAGAGCAGAGTGATGTTTGCAGGTGGTATTAAGAGGCTGGAGAAGGGCCATGCAGAGGGGAGGGATGGGAGATGGGGCTAGAATGGTAGGTTAGGGAACTAATGCATTTCCAAGGCTGATGGCTTGTCTGTACCTTGGAGAAAACTATACATACAAGATTGTTGAATTGCCGGATTGTGATTTAAAAAATGATTCACGGGGGCACCTGGGTGGCTCAGTCCGTTAACCATCCGACTTTGGCCCAGGTCATGATCTCATGGTGGTGAGTTCCAGCCCGAAGTCGGGTTCTGTACTGACAGCTCAGAGCCTAGAGCCTGCTTCAGATTTTGTGCCTCCCTGTTTCTCTGCCCCTCCCCCACTTATGCTCGGTCTCTCTCTTTCTAAAATAAACATTTTAAAAGATTGACAGAGAGATCAGAAGGGAGCTAATGTTATTTCACCACCTTTTAGGAATACTAAATGGTCTGTGTTTGATAATAGCTTTAATAAAATCAGATAAACAGAAAAGATGAAACTTCTCTGGTTTATTTACTTATTTGCATTTCTAATGATAATTCAGAGAAGGCTGTATTTGCAACCATGACAGAATCTTAATTGGGAAACAAAATTAAACCTCCTTTCAAGGAAGGATAAAAAATTCTGGGATATTCATAATATAAAATGTTGGTCGGCAATAGGGAATAAACTGATACAACATGATTCATCTCTAAAACATGATGTTGCTTCAAAGAAGACAGTTGAGGGCCTCGTGATTTCCATTTATGTGGAGTTCAAAACCAGGCAAAACTAACGCGGCAGAACAGTGATCCCCCTTGGCAGGAGGAATGAACTGGAAGGGGGTGAAAGGAACTTCAGTGATGGAAATGTTCTCTGTGTTGATGTGGTGTCTACATAATTGTATAGGCTGGACAAACTCATTGTAAAGTTATATGTATTCCACTGGATATACATTTTACCTTAATAAAAAATTCCTCTTGTACACAAGTTCTGTCTGCTGGACCTTCTTTACAAATAGTAATTAACTGCTAAGAATCTAATTCTTTCAAAAATTTCTTTTTCTGAAAATTTAGTGTATTTCCCGGGGAAATAACAAAGCTTGGTAATGGAGAGATTGCTTTTATTCTAAGTAATTTGTGAAATCTACAAGCCAACACAAAATACTTGAATACTTCGGGGCACCTAGGTGGCTCAGTCGGTTAAGCATCTGACTTCAGCTCAGGTCATGATCTTGCAGTTTTGTGGGTTTGAGCCCCATGTTGGGCTCTGTGCTGACAGCCTACAGCCTGGAGCCTGCTTCAGATTCTGTGTCTCCCTCTCTCCCCTCCCCTGCTCATACAGTCTCTCTCTGCCTCAAAAATAAACGTAAAGAAAGACTTGACTACTTCAATTAAAAGGGGTTAAATCACCATAGTAAATCTCAATATAATCACACAATAAAGAATGCAAAATAGGTTGAATATGTAATTTTTCCCATTCCCTCTCTAGCTAAACTTTTACCAGTAGACTTAGATAATCAGTAGCCTCACTCTTAAACCAGAGAATGAAACTTTTTTCGTAAAAATGCTTTAAAATTAAAACTCATATCATTAAGTTTGAACTACTTTTACTGCTTCTTTATTTGGGCACTGAAGTGAAATGTTTAAGAGATCAAAGGTAAGATGGGTTATGAAAATGTGCAACGAACATTAAATGGGACCCAGTGCACAGTGAGAGGGGGAAAAGTTTTTGCCTCATTTTATCTTCGAGCAAGAGAGGGGGAAGGGGGCAGAGGAGGGGAGACAGAATCCCCAGCAGTATACATGCTCAGCACAGAGCCCAACATGGAGCTTGATCCCACGACCCTGGGATCATGACCTGAGCTGAAATCGAGTCAGATGCTCAACTGACTGAGCGACCCAGGCACCCTTAACAGAAGGATCATATCATAAAAAATAGTACTTGATGGGGCGCCTGGCTGGCTCAGTCGGGAGAGCATGCGACTCTTAATCTCTGGTTCATGAGACCAACCCCAGTTGGGTGTGGAGCCTACTTTAAAAAAATATATACGGTCTTACAAAAAATTACTAATTGAGCAACAGCACACTTGTCAGTTCCGAGGTTTTTGTTTCCTTGTTTTAACTATTTCTAGCAGAAAACAGGAAAGTATTTCATGCAAGGAATTTGGACACAAAGAGCCTTCGGAAAGAATTTAAAGGAAATACATATTCATGGTAACAAAAATTTCACTTTCTAGACTGGATTTACAGGATGAATATAAGGAAACAAAAACACGTGCCAGTGCAGTACGGGACTTTTCAAATTCGTCATGTATGGTCACAATGGCCATAAATGGTCAGAGACTTAAAATAGATGAGCATGTCACTAAAGAGGTTAAAGACAAAGTATCTTCCAGAACCTGGTTTTTCCCACGGTCAAAGAAACTGCCGTTTTGTGGGTTTTTTTCAGGTCTTTTTAAGTTCGGAAAACTTTAAACATCTTTTATTGTAACCGGGCCATCATTTATCCTAGATCTCTCTACTTCTTCATTACAAAGCTACCGAGTCCAAGGTATTGATGCTCTTTTTCTGCTTTAAGACGCATCGATATAACGGGGGTCTCTGAAACCGCTTCCATGGGCCAGGAGATCTAGAATTCTCTCCGGTCAGCCTTTACACGCCGCAGTCCAGTGCCCATGAGTGGTTGGATGCCCAGACACATTTAGGCCACGGGGTTTGCCGTGCGGGGATGGTGATCCTGTCCCTAAAGAGTAGAAACGTGTTGACCCCTGTGGTTACTCACAAGCCACTTAGAACTTTCCTACTATGAACCCCTGCTTTAAGAGCAAGCTTTAAGAGCAAGCCTTTAAGACTCATTCATGCCAAACACCTGTACTGCAGACCAATTCCCAAAACCTGTCACCTAAGATTGTTTAAGCAAGAACTCATTGTCTCACAGAGACAAAGGAATGTGCAGGAACATACTGTTGCCATCCCCCGAACCACCGTGTTTACTGCCTCTCTACCATTAATTTCTTCTCTCTGGGCCCTTCCTTTCTTGATTGTTACTAAACATCCTGAACATAGAGGTTCGTGCTTGTGACGGAATCCCTGATGGCTCCCCAACTCTGTTCATGTAAAAACCATGTACTGTGATATTTATGATTAGGCACCTCGGACTTCCTACATGGCTGTTGTTAAGACTCGGTCACGTGGGCCATACGGAGGCCTTTGCTTACCATGTGCGAGCAGACCACACATGTGCAAGTTCCTCGGTCAAAGAGCTGAGGGGACCCGTCCACATCCGCTGCTAGATAGTTCCAGGCCCGGAGGCAGGAAGAAAGGATGTGAAGAAGGGACAGAAACACACAGGGTATGACGGGATAGGCAACTGTAAACACACAGACAAATCCTTCAAAAGGGAAGATGACAATCTTTATTGTTATTACAAAAGCAATTTTTTTTTTTTTTTAACTTCAGTCATTTGAATAATTGCAAGAGCGACTAGGGGCTTAATCCTCACACAGGCATCAAGTCAGGCACAGTAGGTAGCTACAAATCGTAAGAAAAAGGTTTCTCTACCTTGGATTCCCACCGTTCCTACCTAGAGAGCATTCTGCCACGCTTTGGAATCAGGTTAAAAACCCCAGCAGACCTACTCCGTTCCCTTGAATTCTCTGGCTTTTTTTTTTTTTAAAAATGAGAGCTAGGTATTGTCCTATGCTGTCTAGTAAAACCTAGTCGCTAAATCCTGGCCTGAGAGAGATCCCCTTTTCCCTTAGAACAGAAGAAACTTGTCAACTCAGGGGAGTCCATTTCTGAGAGCCCGGGGGGGGTCCCTAAAACGCAGACCTTGGGCTCAGAGCGCAGGTGCACCTCAAGCATGTGGATGGTCCCC